TCAATACATTTTAACTCATATTTTTGTTTATTACACGATTTAGAATTAAATGTCCACTCGATTCTTGTGCAATTTTGAATAATTCCTTGTGTATTGTATTATTTAATGAAAGTAAGCCTTATTATTCATAATGATGGGTTTCTAATAAGCAACAACTATTCAATATGTTCAACACTCTATATTTGCATGTTGTTTATGAAGACAGAGCGTCATCGAAAGATAAATCTAGCACTAATACATTAGAGATGAAATCAAATCAATTCATCAAACAAGAAAACCTGATAATATCATGTTCAGGAGAAGGACTCATGATAGCAATTCAATATAAAATAGCGCAGTTGAACCATTTGGTTTTTCTGGTTATAGACTATCATTTACAGAATTTTATCACAAGAATACAGTCAGTATAGTTAATTTACGTTAAAAAAATGAATAGTACTCGACAAATTGGTCTCCTAATTCTTATCTGATGATGTGTACATTTTCGATTTCCCTAGGTATCACCAATTTTTCTTAATATTTTTCACAATATTCGAGCGAACACTACATGTCTTCATTACTGATGAAAAGTTGTCTCGTGTTCTTTGCCTAGGAACAAATGAGATTTAGTTAACAAGGATAACTGAAGAATAAAAATATTTATCGAAGAGCGTACACAAAATACAAAACTTTATTAAAAAAACATCGTCAACTTTCACATTACAACAGTAAAATAAATAGCATCAAAGATTAAATTCATAAGAAAAAAGATACATTATTTGGTGTTATGTTCATTAATTCGAAGAAGAAATCATCCGAAATGTATGTTCCCATACTTTTTCAACCATATCTTGTTGTATTGGATTCTTCTTCGTTACTGTTTGTCCCTTATCATCAACATACCTACAGCCTTTCTCTGTTCCGAGCATTCCATGCAACATTAGTTCCGCGCAAACTTCTGGAGTGACTCCTATACCAATGGCTAAGCTGCATTTTAATGGTAATCGAGCCCAAAATGGTAAATTATCGATCAGATTTGTGCGTACAATCCCCGGATAGGCATGAGTAAATGTTATAGTCGTATTTTCTGGCTGTGAGGCAAAATATTGGATGGCATGATCAGTAAATGACAATGCATGATTGGCAGCAGATGAAAGAGAATATGTATTTTCAAGTGCCATATCATTCCAATTAATTTTAGATGGATTTCCATTGACACTATCCAATACGAATAGAACTTTACCACCATTTTGTGACGATCGAAGTAGTGGGAGAAGTTCTTGTACGAATAAAATTCGACCGTAATAATGTAACGCCAGTTTATTGTCAATATTTTCCGTTGTAGGTGTTCGACCAGCCATAGTTAAAATACCTTGAGTTAGTATCAGCATGTCAACAGCGTTAATCTTCTTTGTTACGGCCCGTATCTCAGACATCAATGAGACATCAGCACGAAGAAATTTTGGATTTGAACCTAATTGGGGTAGGATAGTATTGGCAGCAGATTCATTTCGTCCAATAATGGTAATATTAGCAGATGGACAATGTTGAGCTATTGAAAGAGCTATTGCTCGACCAATACCTGATGTACCACCTACGACAACAACGTTTGGAGGTGGCTGTAAAGAAGATAGAATACGAGCGTTCGAAGAGGTAGCTGCTTGTACAGCGGTAGCCATTTCTAGTGTATAATTCTAAAAATCAAATGCTTACAATACTTAATCTAAATTAAAAATTGTTATTCAATTATAATCACTGATTAGATAGCGCAAAATACAAAGATAAACCATACTTGATCATTGAAAAAATTAGGCATAAACTAAATTGTATTCTTGAAATATTTGAATATACAGAATCAAGAATAGAAGAATGCACTACACGATTTCGTTTTTAGTCATTGTCTGAACAACAATAAATTACATAATAGTTTATATGAAAAATTTGGCCGAACCTCTCAGTCATGTTTTGTAATAGAAACTAATCGATGTGTAAGTGATCATGAAAAGTTGACTCAATTGGTAATAGATGGTGGTGCATTTACCACGATTGTAAGTTTCAAAAAATGAATAAAATAACACATATCCAGTACATTTTAGGAGAATTGAGAATGAACGATGAAAACAACAAATCATGAAATCTGTAAAAATTGATTACTACTAGAAATCAAACAATTAAGATCCGCACTCATTAATGAATTATTATTTCTTGTTTCAAAATTAAAAAATAATTTTTTGATAATTACTTTCAGCATGTGATGGCTTCGGTGGATTAATTTTCATATCTTGCAATCGTCTGCAGCTTGGAATTTTTTATTACATGATATACGACAGAGAAAGCTTAAATTTTTACGTGCTATTAAAATGAATTTGTTAAAATTTGAAGGAATTTCTTCTAAATCACTGATAATTAGATGTTTTATTTAATTCTGATACTATTTTATACTCTATTATTACGTTATTTATTGAATTGAACTCGTTTTATCTAATGTTAATAACCTAAATTTGGATTAGTTGTGTTTTACACTTTATTAAAATAGAGTTTTATTGAACTTAACTAATGTCCATAATTTAATAAATCTATACTTATCATTATTTTCATAGATTAGGTCATTTCAGAAATAGTTTGTCTCCTGAGATGATAGAATAGTGCATCGAGCAACGTCGATTGTCTCTGACGACAAAATTTAATAAAAAAAATTTTGCCTGAAACTTAACTCTTTTTCATATGCAATTTACGAATCTGAAATAAAACAAAATATGTAGATTTTCTTTTTCATGTTGAAAAAACTAACTAAATGTCACAACAATGACGCACTCATAATTTACTCGCTTTGTTTTGCAGTTTGTAATAGTATACTTACGTTTTTTGTATAAAAGCAGAAGAATATGACGTCTTTTCTTTTCTCAAAACATCATGTGCACATGATGTTTGTGAAAGAATGAGAGAAAAGAGCAAAAAATAATCAATGTATCCCCACGTTAGACAAGCCTAGTTGTTCTTTTATAGAGTAACCTAGTAGAGAACAGAAAGAGAAAAAAAAAGCATCGATTACCATATACATGACGTGTCTCTCAAATAAGGAGATACTGATCCGGTTGAGTTTTGCATAGTTAACGATATTAAGAATATTTGATAATTATCCTTGATCGATTGAAGCCAGTCTTGAAGATGAGCTGTTACAGAATTGTAACCAGTTGATTAATCATTGGCTATGCTTTTTCTTTTTGGAAACACCAATGAGAATAAAGAAAACGGCGTATTAGTTAGCACCTGTCAAAAGAAGAGAAGTAATAAAAAATCTATTAATCAATTACAACTTTGAGCTGGTGTCTGCGATCTTATATTTACTCAGGTCCAGCAAATATCACCGATTCCGCTCCGATTTTTTCCATTTACATAAGTCGTTCATGACATACTTCCATCCTATATTGTTTTGATAATTGAAGATTTACGAAACATGCGACAGAGAAAACCTGAGTATTCAATACATGGCGATTTTGTCCTGGATTTTCGTATATGACAAAAGTATTTTTTGGTTAAATATCAACTTCAGAAAATGAAGTTGAACTCAGTATATTACATCACTATAGAGTTGAGTACATGCATTGTGCTCACAAAATACAAACTTAAAGATAGCCCGTTGAACTTTATCGAATGTGATTGATACGATCCCCTACTGATCTTGATTACCATCGTCTCCATAGTGATTTCTCTAGAAGTTATGAAATGAACATTCATCAATCAAAATTAAACTAATTTGATTGCTACTTGCATCACTTTTGAGCGACACTTGAAGATAATAGTTCTATTGGGACAACATAAAAGTTTGTTGATAGACTCTATAATGATGCATTCAGTTGCCATCTTTGACCGTAACCTCATGGAAAAATCTAATTACTATTCATTTGAACACAAATCAGAATAAACAGTGTCGGTACATTTTTAAAATCTCTTACAACTTTCCTTTAACGGAGTCAAATGGGATTGTTTCAAAATTGTCCAATTATATACGATCACTACGAAACTTTTAGGAATATTAGCTACAGTAATACAGTTCAATTTCATTGTAGAATACAAAGATAGAGATTGAAACAAATTCTTTTTTTGATAAAAATCGAAACTGAAGTTGTCTAAAGTGGACTCCAAAATTAACATATAATAAAAAGGACGAACATAAGTTAAAATAGGAATACTTCAGCGAGGCATTAATAAATAAAATAAAGCGTACAAATTGTCAAAGTCTACTCAAATACTAAATGAAAATTAAAGCCGATTGACATGGTAAGTTAAGAAGCAGAATATAAAAAAGGAGACTACAACTACCATATGATCAGTTTCGGATTTCCTAACTGATGTTGAGTCATTTTGAGCTCATGTACATGGTTATGAATATCAATTTGATAGGCAAGGAAAAGAAAATCATACATGTCTACTGTCTCATGGCAAAAGATAATTTTGTAAGTACGAACGAAAAGATAAAAATTATGTAAAATCCCATATGGAATTGAAAGAATAAGTGAGTGATAACTCAATCATAGCCTTCTCCTATGTATACTTTCTCTTTGATATTACTTAGTCTATAATTTGCCTTTTTATTGCTGACACTAGAGTTATAGGATCATTTTTCACATACTTAAAATTGAACGTATACAACTGTTCAAGCTTTCGCAAGAATATACCAAACTTTTTTTTCAAACTTTACTTCTGAAATATCTTGAAAACTGCAAAACTCTATGTATTTTAATTTGTGTGGTCGATCATAGAGAATAGAAAAAAAATACAAACTAGACAATGATGCTTCAAAACCATATTGTTGAAGAAAAACCTTTTTTCTTCTATTTTTATTAAAATTTTTATGATATCATATATTTATTCGGGTTTAAGATCTATTAATTAATACGCTGTTAGAATGTTGAAAGTGCGAACAATGTTAGCTACTTTTCACCTTATAGATGATTAGATTTTGTAAATGGACTGTTACGTATCGATGAAAGAGTTTATTACATATATCAGTATGTTGTTTATTCAGTTTTCAAACCATTGGCTGGGTACGCGATGCCATGCTTTTCAAGTACATAATGTGGTGGACCCATTTTACTCATGGATAAACCATTTGCCATTTCAACTCGTTTCAAAAAGTCTAGCTTTGTCTCACCAGGTAAAACAGTTATTGGAGGTAATCCAAGAAGATTGTCAAACGTAACGTTTCCATCAGCCATTAGTTCATCTTTCTTCTCAGTACTTATAGTTTTCAACTGCTCTATCGTGCACACTTCATACCAGACTGTCAGTCGGTATTTCGATTTTTTAGGATAAATGACTCGATGAATACCTGGTTTGAGTCGATTTTGTGTTATTCGCGATGCTGCCGCTCCTAACCAGATGACACCAATGTTTGATTCTAAAGGTCCATCTATCCAATCATCATTCGTCATATCTTTCAATTGAAGTCCTTCGTGTGTCGATAAAATACTTATTGAAAACAGCCCTGGATCATAATGCGGAACACAGTTGACTTCTTCGGTTGTTTGTCCATTCTTGGGGGCCTTGAAGCTACTTTTATTGTTGAAGTACGATACAATGTCGAGCATACCGAAATGCTCATCTTTCAATGGAAGATCAGCACGTTCGATGAGGGTTGATAAAGACGGTTCCGTTTGGAATACTGAATGCTGATCAAGAATTTCGATTAGACGTTTTGTCACGGCATCGAATACTTGAGAAAGGTAGTTCAATGGTTCAATAAGTGTCTCTGGTACCAGCCCTTCATTTGAAAATCGGCCAAAATAACTTCCGGTCAGTAATTTGATTCCTTCTTTATGATGTAATTTAGAATAACCATATATCGCAGGAAGTTGCGAATATCTATGCTTTGCATCACCAGACTTAAAAAAATTAGACAGCTCCATGGTTAAGTTTGAGTCTGGAATGAGTTCGGTTGGTAAAAAGACGAAACACCAACCATTCAATTTGAATTCATTTTCCATTCGTTTTATTTCAGTAGAATCGTTAGAATTTAGTATTTTGTTCAAATCGATAATTACTTGTGCTTTCTTGTTCGATGAAGACATTTTTAAGCAATTTTGTGTGTCAAGTTGAAAGAACTGTTTATTTCCCATTATATCGCAGTTACTCAGCAGCTGTTTATATTTATGAGCAAAAAATGTGTTATTGCACAACGTTCTTCATATGTAATGTCGATGGTTGTGAAATTATATATACACACCCTGACTCACCCAAAAAGATGACTCTAAATAGCAACACGTCAGCCGCATCAAGATTGGATATTTTTCAATAACCAGTTGAAGAGATTTCACTTTCGAGAGCTCAACTTTTAGCTACAGACTTTCATTTTCATTAACAACATTGAAACTCTCCATGAATACTATCTTGATTTTTTATGTCCACAATCAGAAATTGTAAAATGGGATAATCTGCATGATACTAGTCGCTATAAATCTTGGAATGTTCTATTGAACAGCATGCAATTAATGAAAAACGGTTGAGACGGCTCAGAGATATGCCCGAAGGATTTATGAATTGACTCTGCTGAGTATAAATTAGCATAACATAAAATAATGTAACATTTTTTCTTGAACAGCAATCCTTAGAGACAGAGCGAGTAAAGGCTCATTTCAATAAAACCTAGGTGAACCGAGGAATAGCATGAAGTCAGCATCATCAGGATGGCATCACCAGATCTTGATGGATCGCTCAATATCCAGATATCGAATCAGTCCTACTTCATTAGTCTATCATATCTTTTTAAAAACAGAAGTTAGACACTTCATCTATTGACCTTTGCTACTGCAAAAGGACAAGAATCGAGAGAAGTTCTTGAAAACTCTCAGGATAAATTCACACTCTTCTCTCGTAATAGGTTTTCATTTATGATCGGAGTGATCAGATAAAAACGATGGACTCTATCATATTGCTTAAAGATAAGTACGGTATGTTTATTTTATTGCATGACTTATTTGCAGAGATCAAATAAAAACCGATTGGTGCACTTGCGAAATTTTCGTTTTCGTCGTACACTTGCGATAGAATCCTATGTTTTTCGTCAAATAACACTTTTGACGACAAGTATTTCGTCGACAGAAGGGTGTGGGCGTGGGTTACATATCACAGAAGACCTACACCCACAACCTTTCTCTCTCTTTTGAAGCAATATTCGGAGAAGATACATTTTAACAAAAATATGTATTTGAATTCATATTCAAATAAATAGGTGAACTTATTTAATTATAATGCTCTTATTCAACAATATTCTTGTTTCTCTATTGGATTAACTACATATGAATTTCTGTATCTTGTTACCATCTGATATTTAATTTACTATTCAGACAGGTTAATTTACAGACTTCAAAATATATTCATGAAGTATCAATTGAAAACAAGCATAATGATTGATGAATCCTTTTGAAAATTCGTTTTCTGCAATCAATTCGAAAAATTTCTTTTCTGATTATCTTTGGTCATCACATAGATATTACTGCATTGCTTATCGAAACGTCATTTTTAATCATTTTTATCACCATATTTTTTTTTTAAATGTTATAATTCTTTTGTTAATTTAATTAATTAAGTTTATTCTATTTTATTAATTTTCAACTTAAAATTTTATTTACTATTTTAAAATTAAATATAATAAAATTTTTCTTAAAATCAACTGAATTGAATTATTTAAATTATTTATAAAATTTTGAATTAAAAATATATGATACAAGAATTACAAAAAGGAAGAGAATTTATCAAAAGTAACCATAAACATTAGGAATCCAAATGAGGTTCAGATATCTAACTCTAAAGTTAATCGACTTGGCGATTACACTTAAACAGATGAAACATGTTATAAAATATGATAGTGAGAATTTTTAATCAATCTGCGGCGACTGTTTATCTTGCAGTTGTGCGATTCCATTGACTACTATACGACCCAGGATATTTCCAACAAAGGATCCGATAACACTACCAACAAATCCACCAATCCAAGGACATAGAGCAGCAGAACCAAATGTAAAATAAGTTAGAAATGCTTGGATGGCAAATGCAAATAAACCAATCGTAAAATCTTTAACAAGACTCGTAACTGTTTTGTTTAAAAATTCTTCTTGTGTCATCTGTCCATTTTTGTATTGTTGATAGCGAAATATAAGCTTCAGTAAGTCGACAATAGTAAGAGCTATTGCATTGCCAATACCCTCCGCAAAGAGTGTCGAACAAAATTTGTCTTTGAGAATACACAACGAGCTCTCGACCACTTCACTCATTGCTTCTTGACCGAGTGCAGGCAAAATTTGTTTTGTAACCAAGTAATCACCGATGGCTTTGAGGAAAGTCACCAATGGTGTGGCAATCCAATGAACCACCTTCTCAATTTGTTCACTATACCACATTCCCGTCTTGCACCAGAAAGCCAAACATTCACAATTACGTAAAATCAGATCATAGTTGGAGGATGATAATGTCGATGCTGTTAGATCTGTAGGAAGGATAAGAAATTCTCCAAATGTAACTTGCTCGAGAATATGCTGAGCATTATCGACCACAAATTCCGGTTTAAGTGATTGAAATGTATAGGCAGTGCCAGCTAATTTAAAACGAGCATATCTAGAACCATACACGACACGCTTCAGTGTGTAGTTTTTACGAAAACGTTTAAGTGAAACCTTTTGAACAACAGCACGAGAGGGTTCATGACTTTCATCATACGTATTAAACTCCAAAATTTCTGACTCATCATAATCTTGGCTATTAACAAATAAAACGATTCCGTGATGTTGATGTAACAGGGAAGACCAGATGTACAAATGATCTCCTAGCCAAATATCTTTAGGTTCAATGGTGTGAAAGATTGACATTGATAAGATTTTTCTTGTGAATTGTTATAAAACTTTTGCTTCTTTTATACATTTTATACTTATGGCAGGCCAATCAATTGTTCTTTTTTCCCACAGAACGCACGACATTTTTTGGTAGAAAGTGGTAAACAGAACGCAAAAAAAAGAGTCATTGAGTGTTTGTGGTGGATTTTTTCCCACAAATTTTTTGAAACAAATATTGAGTTTGTGTCTGACTCATCGCAAAAAAGGTTTATTCGTTAGATTACTACTAGAGAGCAGAAAAAAAAGATTCACCGACATTTCTAGGCATTACGCTATTTCGCCGACACTTACACGAAAAATGAGTTTTTTTCTCTTCGAAATTACGTTAATAGGTCTCCAACTTAGCGAATAACTATTTATTTAAGAAATATACATGAAAAACAAGAACTACACAAATAAGAAAAAGACAATAAATAAATAACATTTTACAGTTAATAAGTCGTCAATTACATATTCAACAATTAAATATTGATCTAGCCATTTTGAAATCTAGCCTTGGATGTGGGTGCGTGTGTGTGGATGTGGGTATGGCGTGTGGGTGAAGAGAGAATTAACACACAGACCCACACCCACACCCACACCGACACCCTGAAAAGTTACGCTTTATTATATTTTAATCATTATGATAATACTATGACGTATCACTAGTTATTATGTCGAATATAAGATGGAAGTAGTTTCCTCGAAATATTTTAAGTAAATGATAACATGATTGATTCTAGAACTGTTCTCAGTCATTAAAAAAAAGTTGATAATGCACTCAATGACCAAAAAAACTTGTGCAACTTTTCCACACAATGAATTTTTGAAATAATCCCTGATGAAATCCTGCTCAGAGTGCCTTCTATTCATTTGCATGTTCTATAAGAATCATCTTCAATTATTGATCAAACAGTATTAGACTTTTTGTTTTGGTTATACTAGCTGGAGAGTGATTTGAATGAGCTACATCTTCAATGATGAAATTACTTACTTGAAATGAATCAAACAAATTTATTAATATACAATCCGAAGATGTTAAGTTTCCTCATGTTCATACTAAACGGACATGTCTTTTATTCTAACTTAAACCAATTAATTAGTGATGTAAAATCATACTATAAAAACTATTTCGATGAGAATTGAAATTCATATAGAAAATGTTCTACTACTAGTCTGAAACAAATGCAAAAAACACAACGACATATAAGACTTCAAAGTTTGAGATTTTGTACATAATTCTAAAAATGTCTAAGCATGATGGTAGAATAGTTACACTCAAATGACGGCTTTTAGGAGAATTGACCCAAAAACATTTTGGCCTACCCTATACAAATGACACATCGTGATTAATTTCTTGACATTCTGATGTATCCATCCTTGTCTAGAGCACACCAAAATAGATCACATCAGAATCTTGTATGAGGTACATTAGTTGGTTGTACAATACATCTTATTTATTCAAATAAATGTCAGCCTGAACTAAGACTCCGATGAAAAAAAAATTTTTATATTATTTATTTCTACAATTGATAAAGGATTAAAATAATCATTAAATATTTTCGAAAACTTAACGTCCTAACGTTGTTTAACTTGATCATAAAAAAATATTTATGAAATTAATTGATACACATTCCTAATTATCACGTAATAAAAAGGAATTTTCAGTATCTTTCATTTTATTAAAAAAAGAATAGTGATTGTTTCAAATGACACTTTTTCTCAGTCAATTTAATCGCTGAGATATAGAAACCTCGGATGTAAATAAAGTCAAATGATATTTTATTCATCAAGAAAAATATAACTTGCTTCAAGCGAATAACTAGTAACATTCAATAATCGAAGTAAATCAACAAATTGACCTTGTGTATCATAGTAAATTTTTGATAAAATTTCTATTTAAAATGTTTGAAAAATAAATAGAAAAACTCATATTTAAAACTCGATCAAGTTCAAGAAGTAGTTGACTTATAACTGTTTCACGTCTGAATTGAACACGTAAGTTTTAGTTTTTTTTCTAATATCTCATATTCAGCTATTGTTGTAACACGCTTTGATTCTTCTGTGTATTCTGTGCTAGTTAAAATTCACTGTATAACATGAAATTAATTCCAACAAAAATTCCTCTTAGTTTCCAACGAATATCCGATGCTGATTTTTTGAAACCATATTTTTTATCGGTTATCAATATGTTAAAGTTACTACCTAGGGAATTTTTTAATGAGATGCCTAATTTGAGTTAGAATATAAATGAAGAGTTAAATGTTTATAATTACTTCGAAAGTAAATGAAAACAAATAACTTTCCTGTTGAAATAGTAAAAAAGCAAAAGATAAAATTTTATCCTAATTATAGTTTATGAATACTAACGCATGTAAACTGATGAATCTTTGAATGACATTTCTGAACTATGATCTCAGAGTCGAACACTGAAATACTACAAGCATTACCTGAGATTTCACAGGAATTAGTTAGGATGTTATCGCCATTCTCTGAGATATGATCAGCGCGCTTTGCATTGCTACGAGCAGAGTATGAATGTTGATGTTCTGTTTATCCACACGCTCATTTAACATAATATGAAAACATCCGATTTTCATTTGATACAATATGTTATTTAGTTAAACAACAGAAATAAATCGGCTGAAATCTTACATAAAACGAAGGAAAATTAAAAACTTGTTCAATTACTCAAATAGTTCATCAGACAACTTCTTTTTATTTAAAGGATGTCCAGAAGGTAACAAAATAAAGAAAAGTTTATCTCTGCCATATTTTGATCAAATCGGTCGATATTGTTACCACTGATAAAGAAATATACTTAGTTCAGATTCATAAGAGTAAAGTTATCAAAAATTGTTTTCAAGTCGTACAGCTAAGTTCAATGAAAAACAATATATTTATTCTCTTCGTCAAGAATAAATGATATGAAATTTTTTTGATTACTCCTTCATACTAGGGTCGTTTAGTCTTATACTTATACTATAGATGCATATCTTGTTACTCAGTGCACTCTGAAAGTTTATATTTGATCAAAAATCTAATAATTCTAGTTAAACAGAATAAAAAAAGATTATTATTCAATGTTAAAATCGTTACAATAAATGAAAAATATAATTAAAATATCATTGAATAACCAATAAGTATGTGTTTCTATTTCTCTTATTAATAAAAAAGATTGTTCTTCAGTATGAGAAAGATATCTATGATAAAATATATTAATCTAGGTTTTTATTATCAATGATATTTATTTACTGATAAAGATAAAACAATATTTTATTCTTTTTTTTTATGTAACTTCACTGATGAATTATTAAGTTTCAAGAAAAAATTTAATCATTGAATAGTGAAATATTATTCAATTTGCATTAAAAGTAGATAGGAGAAAAAAAAATATGTCAAATGATTTACGTACTTTATCATCTGAATTTTCAATAGATGAAGCTAAAACTATAGCTAATCAATATTATGGTTTAAATCAATTTATTTGTCAATTACCAAATGAACATGATCAAAATTTTCTTTTTCACCATGAGCAGTCAAAATTTATATTAAAAATTTCAAATATAGATGAAATTTATTCAGTTATTCATATGCAAAATCGTGCTATGGAACATATTAATAATAGTATAAGAGTTCTAGCTGCATTAGATGGAAATATGATTGTTAAATATAAAAATCATTTTAATACGTCTTGTTAATTATCTTCCAGGAATTTCTTTAGCTAATTATCGACCTCATACTTCGAAATTAATTTTTAATTTAGAAAAACTTCGTGGGCAAATAGATAAATCTCTTATGAAATTTAAAGATGAATGTGCAAAACGTGATATTTATTGGAATATAATTAATGCTGAATATATTATTAATAAATATAAAAATTTAATTATTGATAAAAATCATCGTCAAATTATTGAAAATATTCTTAAAGATTGGATTGAAATAGTTGTTACTTTATTTTCATCACTTCGACAATCAATTATTCATAATGATGCTAATGATTATAATATAACTGTTATGGATGAAGATAATATTAATTTAATTGATTTTGGAGATGTGTCAAACATTTCTTATAAGTGAAATAGCTGTAGCATGTGCTCCACTTGCAATGAGTGTAACTATATGTGCTCATCAAAAACAAATTCAACCTGATAATCATTATCTTGTTATTAGTGAAAAACCAGCTTGGGACTTACTTGAAAAACTTACTACTATCGATATTAAATTTATTAATCAGACTTTTCGTTCTGCTTGCACAACATCGAATTAGTTTAGTTTGAGGTTTCTTATTCGTATTTTAACATTGTATTAAGCATCATTTTTATCTTATTCAATTTGTCTATCTCATTTGAATTGGTATAAAAAAAAAGGTAAATTGGTTTTAAATTCTAAGCACAATTCGTTGAACGGTTCACACCTATTCATAAAACTTATCAACGAGAAAACAAATTGAATAGAAAAAAACCGTAACAATACAATTTCGCATCNGTCATTTTTGAGCGATACTTGAGGACAATAGTTCTATGTGTCTACTATCTCATGGAAAAAGATAATTTCTGAATACGAACGAAGGGATAAAAATGATGTAAAATTCCGCATGAAATTGAATGAATAAGTGATTTATAACTCAGTCACAGCTTTCTTCATTGTATACTTTCTCTTTGATATTACTAAGCCTATAATTTGTCTTATTATTATTGTCACTAGAGTTATATGATCATTTTTCATATACTTAACGTTGAACTTATACGACTGTTTATACTTTCGGAAGAACATACCAACATTTTTTTGAAACTTTACTTCCGAAATATTTTGAACTATTTGGAAAACTGCAAAACCCAATGTTTTTTTTTTATTTATTTGGTCGACCAAAGAAAATAGAAAAAAAATGCAAATTAGACAATCATGCTTCAAAACTATATTGCTTCAAGAAAAACCATTTTCCTTCTATTTTTATTAAAATTTTTATCACATTTTATTCGTTATTCGGGTTTAAAACCTATTAACCAATATACTGTTAGAATGTTGAAAGTGTGAACAATGTTAGCCACTTTCCACCTTATAGATAATTAGATCTTACAAATGGACCGTTATGTATCGGTGAAAGAATTTATTGCATAGAACAGTGGGTTGTTTATTCAGTGTTTAAACCATTTGATGGATATGAAATGTCATGCTTTTCAAGTACATAATGTGGTGGGCCCACTTTACTCATAGATAAACCATGTGCCATTTCAACTCGTTTCAAAAATTCCAGCTTTGTCTCACCAGGTAAAACAGTTATTGGAGCTAAGCCAAGAAGATTGTCAAATGTAACGCTCCCATCAGCCATTAGTTCATCTTTCTTCTCAGTGCTTATACTTTTCAATTGTTCTATTGTGCACACTTCATACCAGACTGTCTGTCGGTATTTCGATTTTTTAGGAAAAATGACTCGATGGATACCTGGCTTGAGCCGATTTTGTGTTATTCGCGATGCCGCCTCTCCTAACCAGATGACACCGATGTTTGGTTCTAAAGGTCCATCTATCCATTCATCATTCGTTTTATTTCAGTAGAATCGTTAGAATTTAGTATTTTATTCAAATCGATAATTACTTGTGCTTT